ACTTCGACAGAAAACCCATTACTCCAAAAACAGTGAAAAATAAGCAGAGATATAAATGACTACAAGAAGAAAGTAGAAGTTTATTATTCAGTGATTGGTGTAAAAAGATCTATATGGTTAGCTGTTAATTTTATTTTTTTAAAAGAAATAAAATCAAACAGGCATGTAATTCTTTTGCTAATTCATGTAATTACACGAATCTCAAGACGTTTGATTCACGAACTTCCACTTCCACGAATCTATTGTTTATATTACTCCAAAATTTTCTCATGGTTCCGCTAATCTTAGATTTAAATTTTGTTAAGATCTTGTTAACAAGGCATTTATTCTACCCTTCTTTTTTTTTTTTTTTTTTNTTTTTTTTTTTTTTTTTTTTTTTTTTTTTTTTTTTTTTACATAGATTTGTAAGAGAAAAACGTAACTTAGAGAACACGAGACATAAAAAAAATTCTATATGAACTTTTGCTGCTAGAATTACTGAGGCAAACACAGGCGTAGAAAATTGATAATCAAGAAAGTAACTCCAAAATTGCAATTCCAAATTACATTTAAATGAACATTCGCTAGGAGAATTCTCAAAAAAAATTTATAAAATTTTCATTTTTTTTAAACTTATATATTTTAATGGGTAGCAATTTTGTTGGTAACTCATTGTAACAATAATTATTTAATGTGGTACATTTGCCCTATTTTTTTTTTATATAACTGAAATTAGATCAAATTCATTTTTAATATAATTTTATGACATGGAAATTTTTAATTGTACATTTCAGTATTACATTTTGAATGCGATTAACATTATCGTAAATCTGTGATTTAATCTTTTTCTAGCAGTTAATTTTCTCATGGCTTTTAAAATTTCGATATTTTGAGACACTCTATGCACATTTTGGTGCACTCGATTTGTATTGAATTATGCATAAATTCATGCGCTGTTTTGATTTTGTCAACCATTATTACTATGAATTTTCACAATGCAGTGTAACGTCCCTTTTCCGGAAGGGTCAATTTCCCGGACACTTTTTAACTGTCAAAATAAACAAACATCTCTTCATCTTCCCCTCTCTTAAAAATAAAAAAAGAAGAGGTCTTTGGACAGGTTTTTTCCTTTTCTAATTTCTAGTGATTCATGCATTGAATCCATAAATCCACAGAAAGGGGAAAAGACCTCCCAAGACAGTGGAGTGGCGCTGCTCCTCAGGAACGCGGGAAAGGAGAGAGATTTGTTTTCAAAAGAGCACAACTGCGTCCCATCTTTCTAGTCCCCTTCTTTCCTATGCAGCTGTCTAGTGAAAGAGGCATTTCTTGGAACCGTCTTATTAGAGTGTCGGGGGAAGAAGAAATACTGTGAAAAAGGGTAAACTCAGCAAACGTTAACGTGGAGAGAGGGTCACTTTCAGTCACACAAGAAAAAATAAAGAGAACCCAATCAGCATGCCGTGCCTTTATGCTTGATTGATAGCCAATGATGGGGGAGAAAATAAGAATTTGACACTTCCCCGCCCTCAACTTGAATGACAAATAAGAAGGAAATGAATTTTCTTCTCCACTTACCCACCTTAATGAATGGCGGAAATTTCCCCCTTCTTTCTTGAATCGTTCTAGTTCAAAACGGTGGAAAGAGCAATTCATAACTGTCAAAAAATTTTCCGTTCTCTATATTTTAAGCAATGATTATTTGTCCCGCAGTGGGCTGATTGTTAAGACACGGTTCCCAGAAGATCACCGGAGTCAAGCATCACTGACTGCGGTCTGTGTGCGGGTGGGTGACCACTTGGATCAGTCTGCGTAGGGACCGAGGGTGTGCGATATTGGTCCTCGTTAAACTATGCTACCGTAAAGTGCTCGACTTCGCGCGCAGGTCGCCGGGCTATCGAAGCGGGGGTGCCATCCCCTCCGCAGAGGATCAAAATTGTGATGACATGTCCTTTGATCATCCTCCGGGATGTTTCCCAGACCGTCGCCAATATCCCATTGTGCAGCTCTAGTGCGACGTAAATTAACAACAAGAACAGCAATGATTATTTTTTTCTAATATTTTGTTTTTGATTGATTAGATATCATTCTAATACTAAAACATTATTGCCCAAAAAATAATGTTTATTTATTTTTTGCTTCTTAGATTCAGATCGTTTATTAGATTGTTTTAAGCTTTGTTTACCTTGGGGGTCTATTATACAGAAAATCGAATATCCGGTCTTCCAAAAGTCCCAACGATTCCGGATCGTGGCTTTTACAGTTATTGGCATAGATTTCACGATTTTTAGAATCTTTTTTTCTTTATTTTTTTATGCGAACTTGCAACTTGCAAAATGTGAAAAAGGAGTCAGTTTTAATTTGGATATATTGGAGTAAATTTTTGTTTTTTAATTCAAAAAATACTGTTGCAATAATTTACATTAAGTAAAGGATAAATAAAAAAACTACTAAAAATATGTTTCAATGACTTATGAAACTTTAAAAAGTTAAATATAAGCAATTTAGAATATTTTCAAAATTAGAAGATGCATGAATATTATAATTCTTGCAATAAATACATTATGACTAATAGAAATATTTTGCTCAACCATGTTAAATGCTAATTGGAAAATGTTTTGTTATATTTCTTTTTCTTGAAGTTATAATGCTGGATGCTAGTTACAACAATCCTTTTTTAATTTAGTGTCTTGCACAAG